GGAGGTTGCACTTTCCAAACTTACTAATCCTTATCAATATCCAACAAAACCTTTGCCAGATCTAACTTTTCTTCCATTTGACAGTTATTCAATTATATCACTTAATACTCTTAAATCTAACTTTACTCCTGCCATTTTTCTTCAATTTTATACTGACGGTTCTTTTACCTCTTTAGGTTCTTTAAACTGCTGGTTGGGTATCGCGTGATTACAAACTGATTCAAATTGGCCAACACTTGCTTTCAATGCTACTCTTTTATCATTAAGTCCTTCTTTCACACTAGCTGAAATTGTAGCTATATTAGCTGCAGTATATATTTCACCTCATGACTCTTGTATAGAAATTTGTACTGATTCTCAAGCCGCTATCTCCTTCTTTCACAAATTGTTATTCATCTTCTGAGACTCCCTATCCATCAATCCTGCTTTCAAAATTCTATACTTTCACATTTGGTCAATACTTTTCAGCCTTATTGCTCAAAACAACATTTCTGTTTCGTTTACCAAAGTACAAGTTCACAAAGATGATTATTATAATAATACTGTTGACAAACTAGCAAAACAACTTCTTGCACAACCATTATCAATTAACAAAGAACATCTAGGTCTGGGCTATTACTTATATTACACTTCCAATCCAATAATAGCTTCTCATCAGCTATTCATAAAAAATAAAATACAAGCAGCATAGGCAGAGTTCTTGCTTTCACTGCCTCACCTCAACAAATATCATGATAAACCTATAGATTGGTCTCTACTTTTCAAGATCTTAAATGACGAAGAATCATCTTAAAAAATATCATTTATAGGATGTTTCAAAAAGAAATTTAAAATTAGAATATTGCTTCAACTGCTTTCTACTTTAAAGATAGTTAACTCCCATATGCTTACACTATACATTTCAGCAATATGTATCTGTTGTCACTCTCATATTGAAGATTTTGAGCACTTATGGCTCTGTCCTAGTAATCAACCTAATATTAATGAGTTAATCAACACACACAAGACCAAATTTATCACCCAACTCTCTAAGTTAAATACTCTTAAAGATAACCATCTAGTTCAAGAAATACTTTCAGATCCTATTTGGAATATATCACCCATCTCTACAGAATTTTGTTTCTTAGATATAATTAAAGGGATTATACCATTATCTTTGTCAAATAAAGTAACAGCCTGTCTTTCTGCCAAAGATTTATCACATAGCTTCTTGTCCTTCTTCTATCATGAGGTCTTCACATCTTGTTATGAGATATGGTTACAAAAGAACGTTGCACTAAATGATTGAAAAATTGCAAATAACTTTAAAGATGATTATACTACTCCTTGGGTCTCCTCAGGTTTTCCACATTCACCTCCCACTCCTTTAATTTCACACCCCACATCTTTTATAGCGGCTACCGTCTATGGCTCTCACTGGTCAAATTTTTGGAATAGCAATAACTACGCCTTCCTTTTCAGACGTTTGAGAACTGTACAATAGTTTAGTCTAGTTTGGTTTTCTTTTCTTTTCTTTTCTGTTTATAGTTTAGTTCAGTAAAGTGCAAGGTTAGTATTAATAAAGTAGTTTAGTCTAAATTAATTTATAGATATTTTTGTATTTTCTGTTTTATTATATGTACCTAGTATTTTATAAATTTAATAAAGATCATGTAAAACTGCTGCATTTCAAAAAAAAAAAAAATTCGCCAGGATATCCTTCAAGATTTGGGCTTTAAAACAAGTATAAGATCATGTTTCTAGTATTTGTGGTTGATGAGTTATAACCGTTCAAAAGTAACCAATTATACTTGCATTTCTTTTGGTAGCCACTGTAAGTATAAAAATGTAATTATTATTAAAAATCTTCTTAATATATATCATATAAAGAGTGTAATAAGATTATATAAATTGATTGCTAGAAAATCAAATTCTGAGAATTTTTTAGCAAAATTGAGATTTTTTATTACATTTTAGTTTTTTGATATTATTAAATTAAAATGTATTAAATTCTTAATTTTAGTCAAAATTTCTTAGAACCTAATTTTTCTAAAAATACACCCATATTTTCTATATATAATATATATAAAAAGTATATAGAAAATACCAAATTATAAAATATTATTATTAGTAAAAACTTATAAAAATTCAAAATACATTTTAAAAAATCTTTATAATATCCTTTATGATAAAATTTATAGTTTTGTAATTTTAGACCTATTAAATGATTTTAGAAGGATATTATTTTATCATAAAGAGTTATTAAGAAAAATTAAACTTCTATATTTTTTATTTTTTATCTGAGTATCATACATTTATTCATATATACTATACATTTATCATATATATACTATAAAATATTTATATAAAAATTTTGATTTTTTCCTAAAACTTTACTTTTTTTAATGACTCTTTATAATAAAGTGACAGATATAAAGAAATATAATCAAGCAGTTCTAAACCTTCGAAAAAATATATAAGAGTATTACAATGAGTATTATAGAAAAGATACTAATAATTTTTTATTGTAATAATACAAAATTTATTCTAATTATAGTAAGATAAAGTAATTAATAAAGAAAACTAATAATATTAATATACTTTATTATTAAAGATATATAAAAAATAATTATTTTAAAATGTATACAATAATAATAGAATCTGAAAATTATTAAGATAACATAAAACTAAATTGCAAATTGAATTCACATCAACTTGTAAAATTTTAAATATGCAATTAAAAATAGATTTATTAAAAAAATAAATTAGTGAATTGAAAAATAAAAATGCTAGACTTAAAGATATAATTAGTGATCAGAGTATTGAAAAGCAGAATAATTTAATTCCTTTAGAACTTTTTAATATAAATTTAATTTATTCTAATACTAATTAATTTATAATTAATTATATTTCATCATAGTTAAAAGATATAATTTACAAATAAATATGTTATATTACTTTATATTAAGAATATCTTACTTAATATAATAAGAATAAAAAAGATGTATTTTATAGTAATAATTTTGGTAAAAAATTTTACAAATGAATAATAACCATAAATAGATATAAGTAAGTAGTAACAAAAAAGAATAATAATATATTTTAGACTGATCTAAAATTATGAATAAGATATATAGTTTAAATGTATATTGAGAATTATATAAAATAGTCCTAATCTTTAATTTTATATTAATCTATTTTTTTTGCAATTTTTTTTAATATTTATTATTTAAATTTTTTAGTAGAATATTTTTTATGAATGTCAAAACTTAATCATTCACTTTATTTATAATTGATAATAAGTTATTAAAAACTTTTTCTTTACTCTTTCTGTATATATCTTACTTTTTAAAATAAAATAGGCAAAATCTTGGTAATAATTTTTCTCTTATATGATACTTTCAAATTTTCAGAAAATTTGTTATCAATGCTAATAGATTTTATATTATATGATAAGTTTGAATTTACTACATAATCTGATATTTTTTTACACTAACTTAATATTTTAAAAGATAATTAAATCAGTATAAAAAGATAACTCTCATACTAAATTTCAATACTTTATTTAACAACTAAGCTAATACAGAAGGTTAGTACTCTTAGTATAAACTTAACATCTATCAGGATCAGAAAGCTAACTTCTTCATTAAAAAATTTAATAACTAAATAACTTAGAAATAAAAAAAGAATAATAGTTAAATTAAAGAGTGAGTGGTAATTAAATTATAAGACAGGTAACAGTTTACTCATAAATAGTAGAAAAGGTTTAAAGAAATAACTAAAACATAAAAAGATAATCAATAAAAATAAAAGAAAGTAGCATTCAGTAAATTATAGAGTAGTAGTCAGATTATAGATATTAGATTATAAAATGATATTTAAATTATAGAGTGATAAACAGATTATAATATAATAATTAGATTATAGAAGAGTATAGAGCGGTAATAAGATTATAGAATGGTAATTAGATTATGATTAAATAATTAAATTATATGGTACTAATTAGATTTTAATATAATAATTAGATTATAAAGTAATACTATAAGTAATATATTATTCTTTAATATAATTATATTAAAGAGTAATTTACTACTATTATTAATAATTATAGAATAAATGCAAATGTTTGCCTTTTAACTTTAGAATTTAATATTATAGATTCAATTAAAATTTTTTTCCAATTATCACTTAAATATTTATCTTATTTTATATTTTATATGATTTATTTTTTAATATTAATACTATAAATAATTAAGTTAAAAATATTTTAATAAAAATATATAAAATTTATATTGCTTTTTTATAAAACTGAAAAAGTGAAATTTATATCCTTATTTATTAAATTGTTTAATAATAAAATTTTATTGTATGATATAATAATTAGAATTGTTTATTGAACAAATGATACTAGTACTTTATACATGTATTTGGCTCTATTATAAATGTTGAAATTTAATAATTTTTAATTTTTATTAACATCTGTAATATAACATATATCATGATAATCATAAATATCCTTTTTGATATTTTACTTACTTTTAAGTTTAATTTATTATATATTTTCTAATAAAATTTTATTATTTTATTTATTATTTTATTTATTTTTATCCATTTATAATTTGTAAGAAATATAAACAGTGAATTAAATTATTATTATGATTAAATTCTAAGTTAAAGTTAAAATTTAAATTAACTAATTAAAGAATTAAATATGTGTAGAACTTAACATAATAATAAATATAAATTTGATAAAAACAATAATTGGAAATTAATAAATCGAAATCAAAATAATGCCAGTAATCACATGATTTATTTTACTGGCAACGTATTTAACGATCACATGACATATACGGTCAATCATCCAAACATTGGATCGGGACCCACGAAACGTAAGACGAAAACGTAAAGAAGAAAACGGGAAGAAGAAAAACGGAATACGAAAAATTTATAACGACGAATTTAATTTAATTTAACGACGATTTAACGGACGATTCATTTATGAATTAAATAATTTGACGATTTTAACGATTTTTGCCATTTTCAGATTTTGTCAATTCATCGATTTGCCCTAAGTAGGAAAGAGAGAAAAAAAGGAATGCAAAGAGAGGGCTATTGGAACGAACATCCCCAAATCAACTGAGTTAATGAACTGGTAGTATCCTGTGGAGAGGTAAATGCGTTGTCTCCTAGGAACAACTGGGCCCCGAAGTTGGTCACATTTTGAGTTTGCAGAGGCATATGTGCGATCCTATTCAAAGTATCAAGATTCGAGTGTTTTGAAAAACAATTCAACAAAATTCTTTTTCTTCGTTTCTCATAAATCTCGGCTTTAAAACCACGTGATTTTTTTTTGTTGTTTGGGGAATTAACAATATCGATTTTTCTATTTGATATCATGATATCGATATTATTATTCGCATTTATTTGATAAAAACCGTGGGGGTTTTTATACTTTTCACCATCAATTATTAGCTCGGCTCGGCCGTTGGATTTGTGAGATCGAAATTTCCAAATCATAATTTATTTATTTATTTATTTATTTTTCTACGTCTTTTTTCTAAGATCGGCGACACGATCAAAATTATACAATGAAAAAAAGCTAGACCCGGGTATTACAGTTTTCTTTCGAACATTATTAACGTTACCTCATTACCGTTCCAGAATAAACGGTTCTACTAAAATCTTGGCATCATATGATCAATACAATTGATCTATGTCGAAGGTTTATAATTGCACAAAAACCTTTCATGTAAAACCTTGTATATAAATATATTATATATATTTAATTTTTATGATTTTTTGCCCCGGGCAGTGCAAAATTTTTAGATTCTTACGACAGGAAATTTGACATGGAAAAGGCTAATACATATATGATAAATCTAAGACCGATAAAGGAAGAACTACTGTGATAAAACATTTTCCAAAAAGGGATGTCGACCAAAATATCACTGCCAATCGTTTCCAAAAATAGATTTTTCGATTTTTATTTTTTAAGTAAATTTAAGTTTTACAAAATAGAATAATATAAAAGTTAAAATATGACATTTAAACCTACATTTTACCTAGATAATATAAAAATTTTCATCTAAATTAATCTACCCATTTGTAGATATGATCAGCAAGTATATAAGTAAATCGATAGCAAGCCCATCAATACGAATTTAGGAATTGAATTCCGAATTATTAAATCGAATATCTAGCTCATGCAGTAAAATCCGGGGCGGTTATGTTAACTTAGTTGTGTAAGTGCTTTACAACCGTTTTATATATATATATATTTTTTTTTTTCGATATGAAAGTATCATTGACTATTAATCATCAAGACTTTTTGTTTTAGCAGCATGAACATCAATATCATTTCAAAGCATCAAGTAGTGTTGGAACCCTTTTTTGAATTTATCGAACAATCCTAAAAAATTTTATCAACAAGTTAAATTAATCATGTATTGTGACTCGATAGGGTGGTTTTCTTTTAAAAAAAAAAAAAGTACGCACATTCCTTTGAAGTCTCCGCATTACGCTGCATGCTTCATGACAATGTGTAAGAATAATATAAGCTGTCTTCTCAAAGGGTACTTTCAATTGTGTACAACTCAATTTTTTTTTCAAAAAACTTAGTCACCGAAGCAATACCTACTCCCCTGCAGTAAAAGTATAATGAAAAAATTTATATTTATTGTGGGGTTTTGTGGGGGGGAATATCTGCACTTGTCCTAAAATATACTTTTAATTTAACCTTTTTCAGCCAATCGTCATTATAAAAAATGTACATTTCCTTTAAAGGATTTTCCAGTATATTTTTATTTTCCATTTTTTTTTTTTATTTATTTTTTTAACTTGTCAAATAAATATTTCTAATTTAACGCTCATTAATTAATTTTTACTATTTATTCATTTATGTTTGTAGAGTAATAAATGAGAAATTTTTGATTTTTAAAGATTGAATTCAAACGATTCAAACGAATAAATCGACTATAACTTATAACAATGAAAAATTCTTCTTGTCGAGTTTACTATTAATATGCATCATATGCAATTGAAAGAACAATATCTTAAAGAAGAATTAAAGTAGATCACTGACTACAAATGTATACCCCACCGTCACCCCGTCTTGAAAGATAGTATTTTGAGTAAAGATGAAATACAAAGATGTGGCTTTTATTTATATTATGCATGACTTTTGAACTTAAAATTTAACGCATGATTGAGGAATATTAAGTCAATATTTTGTTAATCTCTTTTTACGTAAATTATTTTTATGTAATACCAAAAAAAAAAATAATAATAATAAGAAGATCGTGATTAACCGTGCTTTTTGATACAATAACAAACAATTTTATTTCGTTAAAGATATCAAAAATTGAATTTTCTTTTTATTTTTTTTTTTTTTCATTTTTTCATTTTTTTTATTTTTTATTTTATTTTCATTTTTTTAATAATTACAAATAGTTTACGCAATTGTGGGTCCGATCTTCTGGCTGATATGCATAATGAAATCCAAAATGGGTTACAATAAAGTATTCCCCACTCTTGGACAAAAAAAGTTCAACTCGAAAAAAAAAAAAAATAACTGGTAATTTTTAACGTTAAACCTTTTTAGAATTTTATTTTACCTTGCGGGTAATCCGGATGAACAAATTCAAAACCTCATTTGACGCTTGTCCCCAAGGTTTGGGCAAAATTTACAATGGAAAATAAACTTGTAAAAATCAAATTAGCCTTTTCATTTACAATTCCTTTTACAATTTTTAACCCATTCCATTGTTGAATAATAATATGAATGCATTTCTTGCATTGTACTCGTTAAACAAATCGAAAAAAAATAAATTTTAAATTTTAACACTTTATTCAAGCTTTTTTTTTTTCCTTTTTTAAAAAAAAAAATTTGAAATCACATTTGTCATTGTTCGAAATAATGAATGGATCAACTTGGAACTTTTTAATTTGTAAATCTCTGTTACATCATTTGAAATATTGTTCCGCAATTAGATTAGCAACGAATTTTTTTATTATTATAAATATATGAATTTAACAAACTTTGATAATTGTCCTCCATTATTCGAATTTCATAAAGTCATCATCATTTTGAAATTGATTTGGACTGGTGGAAATTACGATGACTTGATGTTTGGACTATGAATTCGGTTCAAAATAATGATAATTTCGAATTTGAAAGATCAAATCAAATAAATATTTGGATGATTTTCATGTATTTAAAAGGCAAAGAAACCTTTGATGTCGCATTTTATCCTTTCACTCTTTCATGTTTAAACAATCATTCCTTTTCCTTCTTTATTCTATCATCATAATAATAATCTCAAAGGTCGTAGAATTATACACATTTTCAAATTACGTCTCTTGAGACTGTAAAATCATCATCCGTTCATAACAAGAATTTACAATAATGCAACTTTGAAAGAAGGAATCTTATAATAGACAAATTAATAAGACATAATCAACTAAATGCCAACTATAATATTAGCTACCTCGGGTGGATTTAACATGTACTGAATAATTACAAGGCATCATCGACCCAATTTGTTTCTCAATGTGGATGAAAAGGCCAAAGGCGATGGATAAACCTTCAACCCGATATGTCATTGTTAAGAGCGATCATAACTAAAAAAAATTATCATTTGCTTTATCGAGACTTTTGTGCAATAGCGGGCGGACATCGGGACATTTATACATCACACAACATAGACAATATAATGCTCTAGACTAATTAAAAATATATTTGGATACTGTTTATTGGCGGCACCTCCATTTTCAGTTTTTTTTTTCCACAGATATTGATGGTCATCCAACCTATTCACAGGATTTTTTTTTTTTTTGATACGAATAATATACGACATAAGTTATAGCCTGAAAGATTATATATACCATTATTTTACAACAAAAAGTCTCTTATATACCTAATCCTGTCGTTACGATATAGTATTTACCGTAAATTCATTCTACCTTGGACCTTTCATCCACATTGCGGAATAAATTGGGCTGAAAGAACCTTGTTTCTTAGTATTCTCACCATTCACTCGAAGTAGACATATTCTAGTTGGCATTTAGTTGAGTATGTCTAATAAATTTATCTAGCTATAAGTATCTTTCAATTTTGCATTATTATAAATCAGACCTTCAGTTGGGAATTTGAAATTATTATGAATTGTTTGATTAGGAAATATAAAATTTTTTTATTTGAATAAATTGATCAATCATTTGTATTACATAATAAAATTCATTTAATTTATTATTTAAATCGATTCCTCATGATGAAACGATTCCTCGATTTTGATAATGTTTCGATCGATCATAAAAAGTTTCATGATTATCATTTCCCAAATTTTATTTTTAAAACGCTAAAACCTGGGGTACGATTTATGTTGCACAAAAAGATTTGAAAGTTTGAAAGCTAGCATTTCTGTGATATTTGCATTTTAATTTCAAAAAAAGTAATTTTAAATATAAACATGCCTACCCAATTTAATAAATTTTTCCTTTTCTAATTATGGGTTCATTTTTTGGGGTGAGGGCGTAAGGTTTAATCATGAGAAAGTTATTTTTCTGAAACTCTATTGTAAAATAATATTTATTCATTCATTTAATACATCGTAATAGGCATAGCGTAAAGACACAAGCTAACTAAACTTTAACCATAATCAAAATACATGGGTGGGTAATAAATCTAATCTAATAAATCTTAATATTGTCATACTAAAAGAATCTTCAAATACAAATTGAAATAATAAAAGAGAGAGAGGGTTAAATATATATTATATTCTATATGGGTTGGATGGGAGGGTTAAGCAATTTCTTAATTCTTAATTATTATCGTGCATTAAAGAAGTTTAAATATATTTGATTGAATAAAGGGTAAACATAGCAATGAAAAAATAGTGCAAGTAACAGCTCCTCGATTCGAAAACTGATTTTTCTTTTTTTCTTTTTTTTTTTTTGAGAACAACGCTTTTTTATTTTCTTTCTCTCTTCGAATGTTCTTGTTGAAACGTTCTTTTCCTTAATGGTATTAAAATAGATGAATTTTTTGTTGATCGTACCAATCGGAAAAAAAATTCATTTTGTTGCCAATTTGTAATAGCGCATAAATTCAGATGACAGCAACAAAACAACTTAAGCGAAGGATGTACCGTTAAATATCGAAGTAGCAAACGCATTGTCCGTATTCTGTGGTCCCATTTGTCGCATTCTCCTTAACATTTCAGCATTATTGTAGGTTCGGATATAACGACGATGCAAATTTTGAAATCTCTTGTTTCTTCGAATAATGACAACAACATTCTTACGACGTAAGGATACCATTTGTAAATGGAAGGAGGTTAAGAAAATGATGGTAAAGAATCCTTTTTGAATAGTTTATATATGAGAGAATTTATTTAAATTATGACGATAAATTTTGATAATTTATTTTTTTTTTTCTTTCATTAAAACGTAACGATGAAAATTTTGAAAAAGATGAAATTTTTTAATTAAATTTTTGAATATTTTGTAAAAAAAGTTTG